TATCTATTCACCCATTTTACATATAAAGTGGATTCGAAAAACATTTTACATTTTAAATACATTTTTTTAAGTATTTTATATTTGGCATTTTAAATGATTACTTAGCCCTGAATATAATCCTTTCTGTAAACTGACACCAATTTGACGGTCGTGATTTATTAATTTAAGCTTCGTCTCGACTCTTTGAATAGGGTAAAGTCGCCTATTATGAGATACCTTAAAAGCTTGTAATTTATTTAATTTGTAACTTCTACCTTCATGTCAAATTTATGGGAAATATATTTAAATTTTATCGCCAAAAGTTAGCAATCGATAATAACTATATACTTTATTGTATAAAAACACCCTGTATAGCTATTTTTAATTTTTTATCAAAAGTACCGATTTTGCTCATTCAAAAAAAGAGTTCCTAATATGAGATACGTATGAGATATCTCATAACAGGAAACTAACGAAAAAATAGAGATAAGCTTTTTATACATGCTTTTATTATATTACATAAAAGTAGGAACAAAAAATTTAAATGTTATACATAACAATTATATAATTTTTCGATGTTGTGTGAAATCTTAACAATAATAGAATCGTCATTTTTAACATATCGTTCGATAGTACGCTTTGGGATATTGAATTGTTTAAATGCTTTCATATTAGCTAGGAATACCCTAAGTATCTCATATCACGACTTTCACGCTTTCACGATCACCAAATCTAATCTTTACAATTAAACAAATCACGTGTTTTTCTATCAATATGATCTTACTCTATCACTACGTGCAGACTTTATCACCAAATATTTATTTTTATATAATAAAACAAGATTTAAAGACTAATCTCAATAAAATTTGACAACATCCAATTTCACAATCTTTTTTTGCAACAACTACACGTATTATCTAACAATGAATTTTCTACTAAACAGGTTCTACTCTAAGAATAAAGAGCTCGTAATAGGACCAATCACATGCGCTTATTAGTTTAGTAGAAATCCCGCTATCTTATATTAGGAGCTTATCCCATAATAGGCGATTTTACCCTAATTTCTAGCTCGATAAGTAGAGAGTTGTATTGTCATAAGGAATGCGGAGATTTCGCGAGAAAGTGGCCTGTAATAGATGTAGAAGAACATGGAAGGAGATCAGTAGGATGATTCGACAAATTCATCCACAGGTTTTTATCTCTACTTCTCCGTACAGAATTGGACTTATGGATTCGCAATTTTGAGTTAAATTTGCGCTGATTCAGCGCAGCTTTGGTCATATCGGGATGTCATTTGACAAACTGCAAAAATTAACGCGAGAAAAATTTACGAGAGATCTTATTGGCGTATCTATACATATATTATCTGTATTATTTACTGAAGGTGTGTATGATAACACTTTGCTCTCTAAATGAACCCTCTTAGGAAAATTAACTTTAAATGAAATTAAGGTTTTTAAAAGTAATTAAGAGTTTAGTTATTATTATTATTACTTAAAAATTTTTGAGATAATTTAAAATGTGTAAAGGCATATCTAATCATAATCTAAATTTCAAAGCTGACTTTAAAATAATCTTAGAAAAACTGAAGATTTTATCATTTCCATTGCATTTAAAATTTTTTAAATGCTCTTAGTTTTAAAGTAAGGCTAAGTGAGGCTAATTGTAAGATGACCCGCAAATAATACGCGACACCGCCACTAGGACGCGGCGGTTTGCAATTTTCTTCTAAAATCGATACAAGCTAGAATAAAAAGATATATCGTTATGAGATTTTTCATTTGCGTTCTCATGAAATAATTTTTTGATGGCGAGCTTAATAAATGAAGGGGGTTTGCCATTAAATTTAAGCAAATTCATGATTCTACAAAATTATTATTTTAAAGAAAATTTGTAAAATTGTTGATATTTGTTCGTCATAATTTTTAAATTTCTTCAGTTTCTTTTAGCTTTTTAAGTAAGTTTTACATAAATTTCAAGTAAGTTTTAAGATTACTTTAAATCAATGTTTAAAGTGTCCACCTTTCATATTTCTCGTAGATTTTCTCTTCAATTTTCTCTACAGTAAGTTTTCAGTTTTAAAGGCTTTCTAAGGTAAATTTTCCCAAGGATTAATTGTAAATATTTTACATGGATTAAGCGTGATTTTCATGCGTCTACACAAACATTTATATATTTTGCGATGTAACTTTTATTGGAATCATCGTTCGATTTCATGAAAATCTTGACAAATCAAATAATGTTTATCAAAGGTTGTTTAAAACGAAACAAAAAATAGTTTGCCGAAAAATATTTTCTTACGGATTCCACTGTTATATAAAGGAATATGCGATGCGTACAACTGCATATGTCACGCAGATGATAAGGACGTCGTTGTTGATGTACGCGGCATTATCTCGACATCGTCGTAATTTAAAATAGTGCAAAACTTGCAAAAGTCATACTTGCTTAGCAATGAGATGAATCGATTTGAGATGAATTGTATTCGCAAATAATTTTCTATACAATGATAGTCCAAGTACAATTACGTAATATTTAAAACAATAGCAGGAACATTACTTTTCTTCACTTCTTGCTTTCACGTCTTTTCCTCACTTCGTGCTCGGTACGTTACAATGTTACATAAAATCACTTTTCGTTATCACACCTGATACCGATGCTATTTTCCACGACGACCTTGACACACAATTTTCATGGAAGTTATTTGTTACAATTTCAATGTATTTTTCTATATTGTTAAAAGAGAACACATACGTAGTAAACGTTGGTTCTATTACTTACAAGATTGCGAATTGCAGACTTGATTATTTATTAATGATTCAAGAATGCACAAGAATTGAAAAGCACAGGAACGGAGAGAATGGCAGTTTTCAATCTCTATCAAAAATCGTGTATACCAGAATACATAGCTTCTGATAAGTTGAAATCTGTTATTGTTGTTCTTTTGTCTATGCGGCAACAATTTCACGTGTGAAAGTTGACTGCTCTATTAATTTTACATAAACGATTTTCCTAGACTAACGCGTTTCCTGTAACACTACTTTCTCGGCATCTTTCGCACGATTTATTGTCGCTATCTGATACACCCTTAATGTCTTAATGTCTCGTACAGTCTCCGTCCAATAAGTATACTTTTTGGAAACTTGTGATACTAATTATGTGTTTTCTACATTGCCACCGTCGCTCCTGCGATAATGTTATAACGCACGCGATGACAGTTTTCACTACCGTTATTGCGGTGTATTAAATGTACGTTTCGCTCGATATTCCACTGGAAAAATAACAAAAAATGTAAAACTATACTTTTCAACGAATGCGATCTTCGACTGGAGTCACCCGTGCAGTTAAATGAGCTTAAAATTTTACAAAAAGTTCGTACGACTTTTTAAAACATTTATCTGCACATAGAAATGTATCCAGTCACTAGAATTTTAATTCTTTCTATTGTATTATCACATTGGATTCTTATCACAAGTATTGTATCTTTGTCATGTATTGTATTTTTGACGATAACATAACGTTTGCTCAGCATAAAACAGTGCTTGATTTATTCTGGTTATTTATACTATGTACACTTGATAAGGACTTTTAAAAAAGATAGGATATGCCAATGAAAGAGAACGCACTGTGTTCAACAACTTCAGTATCTATAACATTCTTTTTTAACATGTTTAAATATTTTCTTCTCTATCAATACATTTGTAGCCGTTATTTTATTACAATTATTTTATTTATTCCTAATAAAGGTATGTGCATTTGATTGATTGTAAAATTTATATTAGTTACTAACGAAATAGTCCGTAAACTTATTTGATAAATTTTATGTAATTAGAGCAGGCCTGTCCGATTTGAGTTCCGGAGCCAAAACACAAAGTCATTGACGCGAAAAAATTCAATGTGGGTAAGATTTCGGGGACTGTAAAGTGTTGATACGCATCTGAGTGACACTTATCAACACTTTATAGTTCTAAAATCTTACTAACATTGAATTTTTTTACGTCGATGGCTTTTCGTTTTGGCTCCGGAGCTCAAATTGGACAGGCTTGAATTACAGGAACAACGTACGATCGAATTCGTACTTTCTTAAAGATATAAAAAGGAAATACATGCATATCTCTCTCTTTCTCTCTACCTGTCTCCCTCCTCCTTCCTGTGTGAATTGCTTTATGCGCATCGATACATGTAACACGTACGAGGATTCGGCGCGAAATATGACGCACGTGTGACTCTCGTTAGCGACACAGGCGAACGAGCCGGCAAGCGAGAGCGGAGAGGGCGAAAGATACTGGAGTGGCTAAGGAGTGGCGGGCTAAATATAATCCGTAGATCAGAAAACACGCGTACGAAGTGCGTAATCCCCCGCCTAGAAACATGTTTAGTCGCCTTAAAACTATTCACCGCTTGCTACCATTCGTTTTAGGGTTACGCCGATGCATGCCAGTTCCTTCTCTCTTTTTCTCCCTTCCTTCCTCCCCCCCGCCCCTCTTCCACTCAATACGGACTTTGCGCGTTTCCGCACTCGTTCCCGCAAGCGGGACAAGCGGTCCGCGACTGTTGCAGTGACTTCGGTGCAACGCTCGTGCACGTATGCGCGTTTTGCGTGCACAGTATGAGCGACACGCGCCTCCGATTACGCGCACCTGCTTCGTGCGCATCTTCAAACACGTCGATGTACGATTTCGACAGTGCAGTTATCGCGTAAATTCGAACGATTCTGTGATTCGTCGCAACGATTGAGAGGCGCTTGAAATCAGTAGGAAAATTCTTACATACGTATACCAGGAAAGATTTGTAACAAAATGAAACTTTGATTAATTCTTTTTCATAATGTTCGAAGTTTAAAGTGCAACATTAATCTGCGTATTACACGTGCGTTATTTACTGAAGAAAGCCGTATCGCGTAATGAAGCTTTCGCGTTTCTAGCGCAGCATTATCGTGTTTCTTAAATATCGAATTTTCACGCGAAGACGATCGACGACATTGAATCATAGGTGTTGAAAGTTTATTTTTACGAGAATCCTACGACATTTCTTGGTCGTACGTTTTCACGCGAAGACGAAGCTGATCAAAATTGAGATATCGATCGATATAAAACGAATATAACGAATAGAGAAAGGTAATTCGCGTCAAAGATTGAATTTCGTTTGTATCGGACATTTTACTTGTCTAGTCTAATATTACGTCATGTCTCTACGCCAAACCCTGTGATATCACACCTTGTATCTCTCATTTCGCGTGTTTTCTGATCCTTACTGTGCAACAAGTGTATTTGTCATTGTAAGTATATCTTGTTTTCAACGCTGCCAAATGTTGAGTTTACGGCACTTAAAAAATTATACGGCACTTAAAAAATGTATAACGACTTTACGAGGAACCAGCTTTGGTTTGGCAAAGTTTCTATTCTCGTGATAACCGTGTTGCTTACTCGAGCAACAGTGGAAATGCCAGCATGGCCTCAATTTTTATAACTTTGTAGAGCGTAATGCAAAGCGATCGTATCGTGCAAGAGTTTTCGTGTCAAAGAAATATAAAAGTATAAATCTTTTCTATCTCACCTGAGAGAGGTTTAGGTATCAGAACCCAGTAAACGAGAATGGATTGAAATGGATTCAGATTTTCAGAAATATGGATTTACGAATATTAAAATGAATGCTTTTCAATCCAATGAATGCATTTTTATTCATTTATAGGAATTGCATGGAACGATATCTCGATGCCTTTCAATCTAAAAATAATATTAGCTGTTTCTGTGCATGGTGAATACTTCAATTCAAAATTTGGAATAGGAAATACAATTTTTCAATCCAATTGGATCCAGTTGAATCTAATTGAATCCAATTGAATCTAATTAAATCCAAAAAAAGGTATTCGCTATTTAAAATACGCATTCGGATAGAAAAAAATTTCAATCCATTTTAATCCCCCCATTCTCGTTTACTGGGAAGTATTTTGTAAAATATCAAGGAGTTTAAGGAATTAAAAAGAAGAAGGAAAAAATATATCGTTCACCAAATATTAATTTCTGGTTGCTATAAAGTTATCTTGTTTGCAGAACGAACCGTGTAAATCAAAATTGCAGAAAAGCTAAGTGCGGCTAAACAAATTTAGTGCCGCGAAAATTAAGACCGACACAGAACGATCTTTTCAGATCTCTTTAAACGATCGCTTTGTCCGACGTGTAATAATATCGCGCGTGTCAGTAGGAGGTAGGGAGAAGAAAGGAGGATCGGAATCTTAGCTAATTCGAGATTGGACGGACGATTCTTGGGGGATAAAACGAAACGTATGTCTAATGCGATGAGTGCAGAGCGGGAGCCGCGCGCGGTGCTCGCGAGTATAACGATGCGATGCGACGCGAATGTTGTGCGAAGCGGTTTGCATATACACGTGCTATAATATGAACATAATTGTTCACCGCGGTTGTATAACGTTGCTTCCAAGCGGCCTCCGACAGTCGTTGCCGGAGCGTCACGTCGCCGTCTTGTAAAAAAAATTACGCGATATTTCGCTGTTGTTTGACATTATTTCTAGATATCGATCAAAAACCCGTAGATCTGAAAATATGCGACAATCACGCGAAAATCATTCGCGACTGTTATCTACAACGAGTGCATTTAAAAAAAATTACTTTCGGAAGTCGAATTGTTGGATCCTCGAGCAAACACTCGCGTAATTATTATTTGTCACACAATTAATTGTTACGCTGACAGCAAATAAAAAGTAGAACAGTTAAATAATTAAATAATAGAACAATATAATTAAAATAGAATATGTATTTTTAATCGATGCTCAATTTATCGAGATAAAATTCGCACTTGTGCTATTTAACACGTTAAACGTACGCGCGCGCGTATTTTGTACAACTTTATTCTTTCAGAGACGATGACATTGCATTGGTCTATCTATATACATCCATCTACGATGTCGTCGAACGCGCGGACGTGAATTCTCGTGCTGCCATAAGCTGTCCCGTAGCTGGTCGTGTATCGCGTCGCGTCACCGCGTCGTTGCTTCAGGACGGCGTCGTTGGTTTTTGCTCCGCTGTGCGAAATTGACCGATCTTCAGCTTCGATCCGGCCATTTCGTTCGCGGCCGTCGCGCGTCGTCCGCCGCTATCCAGTGCGCGACGTGATGCCGCGCTGTGCCGATTGCCGCGCGCGCGATACGCAACGAGAAGGAAACAAACGCAACGGCTAAATAACTATATTCAAAGAAAATTGGAACGCTGTACTTGGCATCGTTCACGAACCCGTTAGACTCGCCCGTCATTCGGCTCTCTGTAATTACGTAACACGTAGATAATACCGGCTGACGACGATGCGACAGCGGCGTGGAGTCGTTCGTTTAGATTCGTCAAAGCTCGCGCGCGCGTGATCGTTGGTGATCGTGCCATCCGCTCGAATAAAACAGTCGTTATATGTTTGTATATGCGTACATTTGCGAGCGTACGTGTGTACATACGCGCGTGCTTATAACTCTCGAATGGGCGAGCAAATGAGACTCCGTTCTTCAACTCTATCGCTCGCGACGTCGCCGCGTCCGCGTCGCGCCGCTTCCACATGAGTCGCACGAGCCACGTACGCGTCAAGTTGATGACTCCATGTATGGTAAAGGCGAGGAGACGAACAACGCGAAATCCGACATATACCTACCTATTCAATAAATTTATTCGACCTGCATTTTTTTCTCGTCGTCGTATCGATATTCGATCCGTGGGAAATTGTCGATTTCACGACGCGGCGGTGATTCGGTGTGGCATCGCAAAACGTTGTTGCGGTCGCCGTTTCGCAAAGCTCTTCGTCGATATCTAACAATGGACGCGATTACAAATAAAAATTGACAATTGCAGTCGACGGAATTTTTTTTTTTTTCGATTATAAAAATTGTCAGATAAATTTAAGGCTTTGCCAGTATTCTCGCTATTAGTCAAATTTATGAGACGTAAGAAATATTTTTGCGATAAGCGGTTACGTGCGATATAAGTTAGAATGTAAAAAAATGTACAAAATTGTAACGAATATATTTGGAACACGGTTTAAGAGATACAGGATGTGGAAATTGCAAGGTTTGGTTATTCTTTATATGTATAAATAAAATATAGCAATTTAGAATAATTTAGATTTCACCGATCATTTCTACGATAAGAAAAATTTACAAAATACAGGGAAGTCACAACAGAGTGCGAAATTAAACCTCGCGATAAACGAAAACAAATTCGCGCGACTTGTGACAAATAGAACATGGAGTTGCCTTGAAAGAATTTGCTTTGAAAAAATTTGTGATACAAGTTTGTGCGTGGTATAAAGAAAGACAAAATAACGCAAAATAGGATGGCCATAAAAGTGCCATTTGGAATTATAACCGGACTATTCCACAATTATTTTCGTATGAAGAAAAATTCAGATCCTTATCAACGAGATGCAATGCCGAGGTATTACTCTCATCATTGATGCAGATACAAAATAAATTGATCGAGATCGTCACTTCCTCTGACAGATTAATGGAAATTAACGTCGAAACTCAAAATATTTTTTTCTTCGCTCGAAGAAACGAGGACTGTGCGCTTCGACTAATGAGTAGTTGTTCGTATACGTTTACGATAACGCGACAAGCAGAGCAACATTTTTGAAACATGTTTCACTTGATCATTATTTTTCAACTGGGTCAGTGATTCGATCGTCATTTAATATCGGTTTAAAACGGTTTCACAACGACAGATTTCGAAAGTTGATTCCAGAAGGGCTAAACGTCGCAACGGAAGGAAGAAGGGAAGAAGAAAAAAATATGTACAGTTCCATTAAAAAAAATCCTTGAGCAATGTCACCTAAGGTCAAATAGATATTACCGTCCAATGCGTTTTTTTAAACCTTGTAACTTTTGTCTAAACCTTTTTTCCGAAATTGCATTTATTTTTGAGATATTCGACTGTATCCAGACTTTTGGGATATCCTGTGTATATATATACCTATATATAACGGAGATGAATGAGGTGCGACACGTTTTGACAGCTTTGAGAACTCCCGCGAAGAGTTCGACCTTGAACAGTGGCGTCACGAGTATCGCAACGGCAACGTGGTACGACGTCCCGACGCCGATTATCGTACATTGTCATGAGTTCCGCGACCAGACGGAACGTGACATTATCAAAAATGATAAAGCAGGCGATCGTAAAAGATCCTGCGATAATGAGACGGAAATAAGGTTCGTCGAACAAAGAATGGCCAGGTCCTTGGAGGGAGATACGAAAGTCTGGTCATCGAAAGACGATGTTTCGGAAAAAGGCACGACGATGGGACCTCTCGCTGGAAGACTCTCGCTGTCTTCCAATAGCGTCGACGCCGTCGATAAGGCGTCATCGCGAAACAACGTGGAGGTCGTCGTGAGTAGATCGAGTAAAGTTCGCGCGGACGTTAGGCCTCGCAGTTTCGAAATAAATCCCGAGTCTCGCGTAAACTATTCGAGGACTCGAGATGGGAAAAGACGCAGTACTATGGAACTGAATGCCACCACGACGGTGAAGACGGATGCCGATGGAGTGCCGACCATCAGTTTCAGTTTTTTGCGCGCCGATGAGAATTTTCACGAGAACGACGACGAGATCGTTATTCTGGAGGTTGACACGAGCGATCAAACTGATTCCTCAGGAAATCAGCTGTATGATCTTCCTAAAAGCGCCATTCTAGAAAATAGTCAAGCTCCCTTAGAACAAACTGGTCATGATAAGGAAATAAATTCGGATGAGCCCTCATTACCAACGATTCGCCAGGATCTTTACGACGTGCCGAAATCAACACGCAAAGACGTGTCTTCGAACGATTTGCGAGAGAACGAGGTGCCGATCTGCAATCCCGCGCAGGAAAATTGCAAGAGCACGAACATAATTGTTTCGCCTGAGAAGAATAAGAACCAACAACGCGATCAGACGAAACGTTCCACCAGATCGCTCAAATCTGGCAGAAGAAGCTACGGCGCGTCAGATAGCGATGGTTACGATGCCGGTATAGCGTCGATGTCGGGCTCGTATTCGGATCCGGAGTGCCCGAACGAGGCAGCGTTGTCGGAGAGTGGCGATTCGAGCCGCAGCAAGCGACTGAAGCTGCAAAAGCGACGACTGGGCAAGGCTTGGGGTAGGATGCGTAGCTGGCTGCGAGAGGAGAAGACCAGGATCGGCCAAGTGGTCAATAAGCACGCCAAGTTGCAAGCGGTTGGCGCACTCAGTCCCGAGGTAGTGCCGAAAAAAAGAGGAAAGAAAAGATAAGAAATCTTGGCACGATTATAGTAAACATTAGTTAAAATCGGTCGAATATAAGAAAACTTATAGATTGATAAAACTAGAAACGCGCCCGTATTTTGTTCGAGAATATGAGTTATATGTATTATCTTCTGATTCTCAAAAGATGACATTAAACGTACGGTCTTTACAGTATGTAAAAAAAATAACGGATAAAAATTTAGAAACTATGTATTTATTCAAGTTGTTTAAATCTGAGACAGTTTTAACTAATGTAAGTTTATAGTGTTACTCGATATGACAAATTAAGAGCGTGAAATTTCAGTCCAGAAGCGCGAAATTTATATTTTATATAATTCATTGCTTCAAAACTTTGACGTTTGAACTTATATAATGGACTTTTTTGCTCTTGTTTTCTAATTTATTTACATATATTTTTCCAAACATCCTAAATACGGGTTGGAGAACGCTATACAAGTTTCCAAGATTTCAAATTCTTTTATTTACTTCGATCAATTTTTTATTGAAAATTCTCGCATCAAGGTGCGAAGCAATTGTGCCACTCCCGCGGGAACATCCAAGAGCAAGCAGCGTGGCTTCTACGATCTAACGCGAGCTCACACCCAGGAGTCTGGTTCGATCACCAGAGTGGAGGAGTTTGGTCTATCGTCGGTGTCGGAGGAAGCGAACGTTTCCGATGACATGGAGAGACCAATGTCAGCATCACCCGATTCAGGGAAGGCGTCAGTAAACGGTACGAGAAGATTGCGCGGTAATCTGCGAAGAAAGACGGCCAGTTCGGACGACATTTTGGAAAACGACAGGACGAAGTTACAGTTGCCAGGATCTTTGAGCATGGATAAACTATGTTCGCACGTGACGGAGAACGACGAGATGAAAACGATACCAACGACGACGGCGACGACGATGGCGGCAGCGTCGGCAATGATGACGATGGCGGGGACCAGTGATACCGAAACGTCGAGGGATCACGGTGGGAAAAGTAGTCTGATTAAGAGGAGAATGCTCGGCTCAATTAGAGGGTTAATGGCCTCGACTCATCTATTGCAAACCTACGAGTCCGACGAGGTACTTGCGCTCTTATTGCTTCTTTCTCATTGCTAAGATCACTGACATGTTTGTGCACTTGTCATGACACTGACACGTTGAACACTTGCGACAATACGATCGAATATAACGCGCATGTTGAAAATTAGAAAGAAATGAAAAGATTAGGTGCGTGTGTACGAACGGGACTATGTAGTCGATGTTTGTACGCGTACATGTGTATTTTCATTGGCGCTCTAAAGCGAATTCTGGATGTGAAATATAGACCGTACGCGCGTGCTCATATATTCGAACACAGAAACGTCACTGAAATTTGAATAATTTCATTAAAATTAGTAGGTGTGCACATCGCGCTTGTAACGGATAGGATCACGAACAAAGTTTGTAACTAACTTACTAACGCGATGCAACAATGGATGTAGATTGATATCGGCATATGTGAAATCGTTAATAATCTTGTAGGACACGATGAGTAAGTTTGTTGATAGAGTTTGATAGAGTTAAATGAAACGAATTTCGTAACGTAAAAATTTAAAAGATACGTCTCTTAAATATCTTTTAAATGTTGCGTTACCATTCTACATATATATAAGGTGTTCCAAAAGTAATGATAAATTTTTCGCACAGGGGCAGAATGAACTAAACTGAGAAGAAAAATCCTCTACCACTTTACAATTTTCGCAATAGTTAACAAGATATTAATTACTAAAAATTGTCGAAAATTGGTCTTCAATAATTTTTTACTCAAATACTATCAACTTTACAGAAAAACTGCAAGAAACAAAAATTGTTTGTTTCCTTCTCATAGAGCTCTAAGAATTTTTTCAGTTACTTTTGGAACACCCTGTATAAGTACATACATAAAGTATTCATTATATTCATTTAAGAAGAAGAAATCTTTTATGAAGAAAAAAGGGAAAATTTCTTGCTTGAATTCTTGCTCAAATCGCATGCTTGACATGTTTATTTTTACTAGTCATGACACGTCCATTGTCGGCTATTTAAACGATATTACCACAGTTCTACAGATATTTTACAAGAAATATAAAGTAGCCATTTCGATGAGATGCATGCGCGATAAATCAGCAATACTTAGAATCAATAGGAAAAAAACTGCCTGCTTTCTTTTCACATGTTGCTTTCAGTGATAACATCATTTTCATCGAAAATTGCTTTTATTTGTACAACGGACTTTTCTGGTGTTTAGAATGCTTTTTGTTGATCTATCAAGTCATTACATTATTTACGCGAATTTGTTATGCACGAAACATTTCTTTTCTTTTGTGTTTTATGAAGTCCAATTCCTACTTATCTCTCTGATCTCTGCATCTCTGACGTTATATAAAAAGATTTATTCGTCGAGTATGTTTGTGTGCAATTGTGTATTATTAAAATTTTTATAATAAGAATTTATGAAATAATGAATATTTTATCAGTCAATTTAATGTCCAGAATGATTAATCGGAAAAAATTCTAATATTCTATTATAATATAATATAATATCTCATATTTTTGTATGTGTATATTATATATATATTTATATACATGTTTAATAATTAATTTACACGTAATTATATATAACACGATGAAGACATATCAATTTTGAAAAAAAAATCTTCGTTTTTTACTTTGTCTCTCATTTTTTAGTTCGTCGTTTTCTAATTCTGCTTTCCCCAAGTTGAAATTTTACAGGCCGTTTGTCCGATCGAGAGATTTATTGACTGTCCAAGAGAAATGGCGCTAAGCGGCCAGGCATGAGCACGTCTTGAAGCATCGCAAAAGCAAAGCATGGAAAGTGTGGGAAAGTTACACGGAGAAAATAGCCAACTTTGTTTTATACACACACACACACACACACACACACACACACACACACACACACACACACGCACGCGCGCACATACAACGCTTGACCGCCTTCCCTACGTGTTCTCATGAAGATCGCGTATGTTTAGAGATACGTGACTGTGAGGAACAGGACACTGTTTCTCTGTAGTCACAGAGACCGCGGATTTTTCAACAGTATAGCACAGAAGTCGATAAGTTTCTCCGAACAACATCGATCGATGTACGATATTATTGTTGCCACGATCAATAATTTTTATTAAGATTTCTCAAGTCAGCACCCTCAATACACATTTAGCTTTGCTTACGATTCATTTTTATTTTAGCTTTAATTTTGTAAAAACCATCGTATAAGATATAGCGCAATTGTTACGTAGGATTCGAGTGAAATGCATTTTTATCTGTATTTTATTATCCGTATTTCTGATGACTTCTGGTATTATTACCAAATTAGGGCATGACAATTTAACGGACTGATAGTCACGAGCTACTGACTCAAAGCAACGCTCATGGCGATGAAAGTTTCTTTGTTGAACGATAAATGCGATAGATAAATTATCTGATACGACGAAATATAAAAGCAAGTTCCATTCGAAAATTCACACGCAGAAATTCTCGCATCAACGTAATTGAGGATGCGAGTGAGGAGGCATCCACATTGAGCTACTGGTTAAGTAGTTGGTTTTATGTAATCGTGCCATACATATATTTTTTCGGTCGAACCTGTACTGACATTTACCTAAGACGCGAGATTGCCACGCGTGAATAAATTATTAAAATTGAACTGGCTCAATAAAGTGAGCCAAGTTCCAAGATGGTGATATATTTCAGAAATGTTATATAGATCTCGACTAAATGCATATTATGCTATAATATGATAAATTTAATGGTTATCGACTAATCGTTGATCACTTGTTCATTGCAAGTGAGTGGAAATAAACCACCTGTTGCAAGTGCACGCCCGTTTGTCGTCATCGACTTGCTATAATCGATGTATCGATTAACCTTTCAGTCGTCCAAATTGGTAATAACTATACCGACTTGTTTCATCTCGATTGTTACCCGAGAATGCATATAATTGCATTCATTATATATAAACCTATTTTCCATGATATAACGACATATTTAAAAGCGAATTAAAGAGAGAGAAAGAGAGAGAGCGCAAGCAAGAGAAACAGGCAGAGATTCCAAACGATGCAAACTTTTATTTCATTATATAAACTGCCCAAGTAGCACACAGCGTCTACTAAGCGTTAAAAAAACGCTAAAAAAGTGTATATAAACGCTTTTAACGCTTTGCAGGCGCTGCTGTACTACTTAGACGGCATCTTTACTGGTAAGACTACGCGCTCATTTTTGTTTCTTTTTGTATTTCATGCAGTTTACAATAACCTAAATATTAAGAAAATTTTTCAAAAAAATATTTCATGTCGCCTGCGAATATGCGAATATTCTATTTATAGATAGGAAAACGGCGAAATTTTTTCCGTTGATTTCTATATGAATATAAATAACAGACATATAAAATTCTTTATATTCCTTAATTTGTTATGCACGGATCAACACTAGGATTTTATTGTCTCTTAATACTAATAAAACGAACAATGATCAACTATAAAACACATTCAGTTGAAAGATGAATCTGTCGCTTGGCAAATCGATTATTGATCACGCGTTTAATTATTACCTGCTAATTAAACAGCCTGATACATGTCGGACTGATAATTGTATTACAATAAAACGAGAAGGCGTTATCCAAAATAAATTTTAAATCGTTGATAAATGTGAAAAAGATTAGTAGAGAAACATACGAGTGGATATACATATATGAAAGTGTTTTCCCCATGCGTGACATTTTATCAATTCACCAACTAAACTGATTACAACTTTCGCCGTATCGCCGACTCTAGAAATTTCTCATATATACACAAATTTATCTCATTCTACTAATACATCTTCTCCCATTTTATTACATGTATACATGTAGTCTGCATCAGCAAAACAATCTTTTACTACAGAGAATTAATACAACATTTGAGATGAGCTCGTGATATAAAATAGATTTTGATCTACTATTACACATTACTGCAGAAATCTTCCAATCTTTAAGTGGCTGTCATTTTAATATGTGAAATATATGTATATATCGAGCGTAGATTACCCAGCAAATAAGTTGACATTATTTGTAATTATTTTGATATTATTTTGATATTTTGATATTATTTTAAAGACGTCATTTTAATGTCGAAATTTTAATAAATAACGTCAGTTTAATTATTTGCTGGGAAGGTGCGTTTCTTAATATCTAATAACTTTTTCTAACATCTAATATAATTAAACGTGATTATGGTTTACGAGTTTACATTGTTAGCTTTCTCTTGACGAAATGCTGAGATAGAAGTGTAAATGTAAATGGCAAATTGCCATAAGAAACGCTTTCGGTAAAATTTAGATCGAGTCTATAGAAAGTTGCTCTGTCATTTTGTTAATCGCGTCACAAATAAAACAAATGTTCTATTGCGTAACAATCGATGATGTGCGTATCAATCGCAAGATACAATAGGTGCGTTCCGCTTTTCATTGCCAGTGCTGAAATTATACGGTATATGTACGCTATAGATTTTCAGCACTGGCAGTGAATATCGGAACGCACCCAATGCATAACGGCCGTATTTTATGATGCACAAATTTAGCGTGAAATTTTATTGTGTGACTTCGAAAATGACGGATATTGTTAATATTATTAATGCAAGTATATCTTGCGAAATTGTGCTGAAAATTATAAATGGTAACTTCAATTCATAAAAACAAATGCTTTACTTTGTATACAAAATTCATTATTGTCTTTCCATACACGGTATACAGATAAAGAAATAGATACTATATAACGATTCTTAAAAAAAATTATCATGTTGCGAGATCTCCGTATCTCCCACTTTGTTCATCAAATTATCGAAATCTTTGAAACTTTATCGGCAATATCGATTTTGAAAGAATAGCTCTTTGAAATCGATCGACAGCGCGTTAGATGATAGACGATCCGTTTATCATTACAAGAAAAGTATGAAATCTATGGAAAAAAAACACGATGAAGAAAAGTACGTCAACTGGAAAATTGTCAATTACATTTAGAAAAGACGCGCCAAATTTATTACAGAAATATTTCCTATTCCCGACTCGTTTTCTAAGATTTTAAGGCAGTGCGAATGACTTTTTAATGTCTTGCATAACTTGCACACATTATAATCGCGAGAGTATGCATGGACATGCGAATGACAGAAATATAATATGTCCTTGCCGACTAATATCTCTATTACTATTACTACTATTACCACTAGAGAGATATTACGTAACATGATTGTATCTACATTACGACTAGATGTTTGTATCGATGAAACTCGACAACTTGTTCTCACTTGAGAATATTTTAATAAATGAAAATTTTTGATACGCGCGTGTCATGTGAAACTGCTAGCTGACGACATTCCGTCGTTTGAAATTGATTTACTAGATATAACTTTTTACTTTTTATTTTTACATTGTAAATATTTGAAACAAACAATTTATGTGATTCATATTTACTATGACGTGATTTATAAATCTCTTCAACGGCTGCGTTTTGAAATTTTTTAAGTATATGTCGTCTGCATATTAGAACTGTTGACAACGTAAAAATCAATTCGTTTGACCGACTTTGAATTATCAGTTATATTTAGCACGTCATACTTCAATAACTTCGTAGAAAGGTGATTTTCTGTTATCGAAATCGTCAAATGACATTTTATTTAAGTACGACCCAATGTGTACTTGACAAACTCGCGATGACTAATTCCTTTCGTTATAATCCTACATTATATGATATATTGTACCAATATTGTAAAAACTTATTATCTCTTCGTATATACAGAGTGTCCCATAAATCTCAATTAATATTTCTGACAGTGCAAGAGAATGAGACATTTTGAACTAAAAGTTCCTTTCCCAATTTTGGGTCAGGGTTGGCCATTACTTATCGAGTTATTAACGATTAAAGTTGCTGAATCAGATTACGCCCAGTCGGAGTATGCAAGAATGCAACATACCATAGAGCTTACTGTACATTCTCTCGATTAAGATTTTATTATAATTTTTTCATATTAATTAATAAATAAATGAATAAATCAATAAATAGATAAATGGGTAGATTATTTTATTTATTTATTTATTAATACGAAAAATTATAATAAAATTTTTTAATACAAGCGATAGATGTAATTGATTAACGTTGTTTTAGACTATTCATTGAAAAGGACTATATTAAGAGTCGAAATGTATAAATTTATTTTTTGTGTAGTAGGGGAGACCGGGGATAGTAGACTCATTTTTTAGTTTCGAATTTTTATAGACGAAATTAAGAGACTTATCGAAAAAATGAATTGTACCCCAGTTACTACATACATTTGACTATCTAATAATATTTTAATAATAAGGGAAAACTGATAATTACTATGAAAAAAAATGCATTTTTCTAATGCATTCCAT